AGCACATTCTATAGTGCTCACTCAGCTAACGCCATCTTCAAGGGAAGCTTTAACTGAGCCACTATCTGAGAACTCTCCCATTAAAACAGCAGCACAGCACCTATAAGCCTACATGCCCCTTTCTTCTACTTTATTCTGAGGTTTTAAGGAGAACAAACTTGAAACTGGCTTTTTTTTTTTTTTTTCTTTTTTTTTTTTGTGGCTGTAAGTTAGATTAATGAATACAAAAAGACTTCTTACAACCGTATATTTTCAACAGATTTATGACAGGGTTATAGTATCAGCATGGAGGGTCCCCAAGGCAGGAATGTAGTAAGGGTAACAGGAGAGTGTCATGTAGACATTAAATAGTACAATTTCTTCCACATTCATAAATCCTACGTGCCTAAGATTGTATACTGCTGGTTATAAATTACGTAACTGAGTTCTGCAGAGGAAAAAAAAACGACAACAAACTAAACCAAAAGCAAGACCCAAAGTGAGAAATCATCTCCATAAGAATCTCACTTTTCATATGAAAGAAAACCTAAGTTTCAAATTACTTCACTAAAACAGTATTATTTCCTATTTTAAGTAATCTTGATTGGTAAAAAGTTAAACCAGGCTTCCATGGGTGATAAAACAAGACACATATGTCTACTAATCAGTCTTTTGGAAAATGAAGAAAAATTCTCACATTGATTTACAAATACCAGCTCATGAGGAGACAATAATCCCAAAAAGATGGCTTGAAAAATATTTGGTAGAAAAATAACATTTTACCAAGTATTCTAATCTGGTTTGAGCTTTACAGCTGAGGTTAAGATACCTATCAAGTTTTATTATTTTTTTTTTATATACCTGTGGTATAAACAAAAAGCTGAGTATCAAACTGATACTCATTTAATGCAGTTTATATATAGCTCAATATATAGAACAAAGCTGTATTTATATGCCGTGTAGATATGTACACACTTAAAACCTTCAGTAGTAATGCTGAGCACCTCTAGTAAAGTGATTGTTTAGAAACTTAAGAGCTACAGAATAAGGCTCAAAACTTTCCTGCTATTATGCATTGTGTCACTAATCTGATGATACGCTAACTAACGCGAAATGAAAACCTATTAGGGACTTCAGTAGGTCCTCCCCCAGTGAACACTTTTACTCTGCAATTGCAGTGCTTTTGCCTTGTTCTGGATTAATCCCCTTCGGATGCTCAGAAGCCAGTTAAGAGTCTCTCAGCTGGTGTAAGCCCTTTTAACTCTGCTTGAGGTAAATTGTCTGATATAGCTGGGGATGCAGCCATTTCTTATCCACCTACTTAGAGCAGAGGTGACACCAGGCAGTGGCTGTGCCGCCATCTACCGTAGGTTCTGCATAGCACTGCTTGGTCCAAAGCCCACAGGAATCACTCCAGCAACTCCTCCCCCTAATATCCATGCTCAATGACACAAACTCCACTCCCTAAACATGTACCTAAATAATGGCCTGATCCTGCAATCCTTGCTTAGGCAGAACTTCCTCTACAGACTGCAGGTCAGCTGCTTCTAATTAAACATCACAGATTATGTTACTGTTCTTCAGCTGCTAAAATCTGTCCTGTAAATTTGAAGTCTGTGCGCTTCTAGTATTATTAACAGTTGCCTTAAAAGTCATCTGAAAACAGTGTAACACTCCAAAATATGTTCAGATTTCCCTGAACCAGCTTATTATGTATCGTGTAGCTCAATGCATGCCATCCATTAAACCCAAAGAGTTTCACATCTTCAAGAAGGATTTCTGGGTGCAAGTAAAGTCAGAATCTGCACCCATACAGTTCTCTCTCCATTTTAATGTGTGGCTTAAGATTTTCTTGATCATCCCAGACTCAGGTTATAGTGAAAGCTTTTGTAGTTGCTCTTTGGAGGCTTTTTCATTCTGTTATATCCCCAACTATTATTTAAGTAACTAGAAGACAGTATAGTTCTCCTTATCCACGCATGGCAGGGGCTCTTTCAAGAATAGGGTCAAGTAACTTCATAGCATTGATGCTATGGGATGAGCTAGTGGTTGCATTTCCAGGACAAACTACCAGATGTAAGGAACAAGTTAAAAAAAACCAACACAACTAAAAAGTGTCCTCCTTCTATCTAGTGACAGACACCCTCCAGCTGTGCCCAATGCTGCAAGTTCCCTCAGCCTCCTGACAGAGCATTCAGAAGCCACTTCTGTTCCCATTACCCTATAGGTAGAGAAAGGATAATGGAACAGTTCCAAGCAACCAGGTTGGAAGACATCTGCCAGAGTAAACTTTAAGTTAGCACACTCTACACAATATTTATAGAGCAAATCTATGAATGCCACTTGAGCCATTTAAAAGCTGGAAACTAAATTCTGTTTTCTGAATGTTTATTCTGACTCTGTCCAACTGCTCTTCTTACTTGACAGTGCTTAATTGGCAGTCAGCCATGAAAGCTGTTGTCTAATTACACAACATATCATGATCTTACAGCCCTAAAGATAAGGGTTTACTGCAGCATAAGTGGATTTTAAACATTAACATATGAGAAAAAGAAAATTAGCCCGCAAATTAGAATATTTCAAAGTTTTGCATGTCAAATTCATTAATATTAGTCTAAGAAAGCATGGTTTTGAGAGAGGAACTTGGGGATTAGGTAATCTTTAATGTTAAATAAGCTACAATTTTGTGGGCTGACTGACTAACCCTTTATGCAGGGCAGTATGTCTTCTGATGTGATTACATAGTTTTTACTATCTTAAAGATATCACATATTTGCATAGAATCAGCCAAGCTGGGGACTACGGCAGCAGTATGATGGCACAGCTACACATTATGAAAAGCACAGATTTTGTTAATCACTTGCAACATTTTGCTACCTTGAAATAATGGTGCAGCAACTGCATTCTTAAATGGTCTCAGTGTTTTCTGTAAAAACACAATTTCACACTGCAAATTATAATGGCTATTAAAGAAGAACATGTGCCACTATCTTCTGCTAACAAGAACCTAATTGTTTTGCATTTAAAGATGGTCTAGGTCTGACTTTTTGATATAAATCTGGCTAGCAAGTTACAAATGTTAAGCTTATGGAAGTCCTTTCTTCACTGCACATAAACTTGAGGAGCATGATGCAACTATGTATAAGAAAGGTACTGTTTTGCTTTTATAGGAAGTCATTCTCCTCTCCTTCAGCAGATCCTCTTCAAATGTGACAGTAACCATGACATAACCAAGAATGCCAATTCTCTTTCCAATGCAATGACTAGAAAGCTAGGAAAAAAAGGGTCTCACCATACAGTTGCAGGGCGTTGCTCCTGGACGTACAGTGAAAGAGTGGGAAGAGGTATATGTGCATTTCAGAGTATTCTTCCTTTTCCTGGCAAGATCTCTCAGGTCAGCATGTGCACAAATTCACTCCCTGAACAGTTCTCCTGGCTAAGTGGGGCTGCTCAAATGAGTGGATACTTCTCTGAGTTCACTGCTGTCAGATTGGGCCCCTATAAGCCTTTTTGGCAGCTGTGTTCTGCAGAGAATGGCTGGTGTTCTCAGGGACACACAGAAACCTTTCTGAATCCCATTTTAGGGGAATGATGCTGTCCTCCTCCACAAACAAAAGTGATGTAAGAAATGCAGTGCTATACCTGATTTCACACAAAAGCATAAAAAATGAAGACTTCATCATAGCTCTGTTTTTAAAAAAATAGGCTATGAAATACAGAGAGGGAGGTGGTAAGATTCAGCTGCTTTGACATCTAAACCTTTCACAAATATTAAGTGCATGGTAAAGTATGAAGTTGCAAGGTGGAGCAAGTGAAGTAGTGACATATGATACAGCAGCCCTCTCCTCCCTGTTTGTAAGCCTATGTTATGGGTATTTAATAGAAATACAGCTGAATTAACAGTAATGTCTATCACACAGAATGGCAACCTGCTGAGGTATCAGTACTTTGCACATTAGCAAGCAAGAGATCTAATTCAGTCACCTAAATTTGCTTTAATTTAACAGAAGATTTATCCCCAGGTTTATGGGTTTATGTAAAACAACCCGAGAATCAAAAGTGTTTCTTCACCAGTGAAGCAAGTCAGAGTTTCCTCCAACACTTGCATAACTGAGCTTACTTTCTCAGAGGACACAGTCACTTAAGAGTTACTATAACACTATACCGTGATTTACTACACTTCCTTCAATTTGAGACGGCACAGACAGGAAAGCCAAATAAAGGTTACATTTCTAGCACTGACAGTAAAAAAACCCAAACAACTACATCACCAGATGCATGCTTTTACTAAAAGCCTAATTAGTAGCACAGAAAAGGTTGAAACTACAACTATGGAAACAGCCCATGTAACTTTCACTTTGATATAATTTCTTAAAAAAAAAAAAAAAAAAACAAAAAAAAAAAAAAAAAAAAAAAAAAAGTGGGGTGGGGCGG